CAGGCGGGGCAGTTTCTGTGACTCGCGATTGCCCCGCTGTCGCTGTTACAACATTTCAATGAGTCTCATGGGATTTGAACAGTCACACTTATCTTGACGACTTCAAACACCTCTGGACTCGATATAGAGTTAGCTATCGCTGCAATTATCCGGTCTTACATCGTGTTGTATCAGTCACGATTCATCTCTTCCAAGCAGCACATTTGGTCTTATACATTCTATCTTTTTCATATATTTACTATCATATCCAGGGGACAATGCCCACCGTTCACCTGTTGGACTATGTCGCCGGCAACATCAGGAGCCTGGTAAATGCCATTGAGAAGTCTGGCTACGAAGTAGAATGGGTCAGATCACCGGAAGACGTTCCAAAGGCAGAGGTTTGTTGATACTTCCTTCAATGTTTTGTCCACCATGACTGATGCGCCTTTAGAAACTCATCCTCCCTGGTGTCGGCCACTTTGGTCATTGTCTGTCCCAACTGTCCCAAGCTGGCTATCTTGAGCCAGTTCGAAAGCACATTGCTGATGGAAAGCCGTTCTTCGCGGTATGCGTCGGCTTACAAGCCCTATTTGAGGGTTCTGTAGAGGACCCCGACGTCCCCGGCCTCGGAGTCGTTCCAGCTTCCTTGGATCGTTTTGAAGACTCAAGTAAATCTGTCCCCCACATCGGGTGGAACAATGCTTTCACAGCTGGAAGAGCCATGTATGATCTTCAACCAGACTCCAAGTACTACTATGTTCACTCTTACAAGTGCCCCTACAAGCCGGGCGAGCTTGAGTCCCAAGGGTGGACTGTCGCTACTGGAACTTATGGTACCGAGACTTTTGTAGGCGCCATTGCGAAAGGAAACATTTTTGCAACCCAGTTTCACCCTGAAAAGTCTGGCACTGCAGGTTTAAAAACGATCCGGGCTTTCCTCACAGGTGAAGGTGCAAAGAATCTTGGTACCGTGGTTGACGAGGCTGTCGCCAATGCCCCGATCAGATTCGAGGACAGCTTAACACGGCGAGTCATTGCCTGTCTGGATGTGAGGACAAATGACCAGGGTGACTTGGTCGTTACAAAGGGTGATCAGTACGACGTTCGCGAGAAAGGTGATGACCGCAACGTGCGAAACCTCGGCAAGCCTGTCGAGATGGCTAAGAAATATTACGAATCCGGTGCCGACGAGGTGACTTTCCTCAACATCACTTCTTTCCGAGACTGCCCTGTTGCCGATCTCCCTATGCTCGAGATTCTTCGTCAAACGTCTCGCACCGTCTTTGTGCCCTTGACTATCGGCGGTGGCATTCGTGACACCATGGATACTGACGGCACAAAGGTCTCAGCCCTTGAGATCGCGAGCATGTATTTCAAGTCTGGCGCTGACAAGGTCTCAATCGGCTCCGACGCTGTTCTTGCTGCTGAAGAGTACTACTCTATAGGCCGCAAGCTCTTCGGCAATACTGCCATTGAACAGATCTCACGTGCCTATGGCAACCAAGCCGTCGTTGTGAGCGTTGATCCCAAGCGTGTCTATGTTCCCAAGCCTGATGCCACCCGTCACAACATCATAAAGACACAGTTCCCTGGTCCTAAGGGTGAGGAATACTGCTGGTACGCTTGCACAATCAAGGGTGGTCGTGAGACTCGTGACATGGATGTTGTCGAGCTTGCCCAAGCCGTTGAGGCAATGGGAGCCGGAGAGATCCTGCTCAACTGCATTGATAAGGACGGTACCAATACTGGGTTTGACCACGAGCTCATCAACCAGGTGAAGAGAGCTATCAAGATCCCCGTCATTGCCTCCAGCGGTGCTGGCAACCCGGTTCATTTCGAGGAAGTCTTTGAGAAGACTGCTACGGATGCTGCTTTGGGGGCCGGTATGTTCCACCGCGGCGAGTACACCGTTAAACAGGTAAAGGACTACTTGAAGGAAAGGGGTCTCAAAGTAAGACAATTTGAGGAATGATCTTGAGCCATCAATGATAGAATAAAACAACAGATAATAGACACTATTTGACTTGCACACGATTGCTTCAGTATTGTCTCAACTACCTAGCAGGTTTGTACGACCATGAAAGTCGTCGCCGTGAAAGATACAGAATGATACAAACACCTTTAGGCTCCTACAAAGTCCAAAGAAAATGAGAGATGCGCCAAAAGCCTTGGGGCCGTCGAACTTTTTCTGCGACTCAACGCCTGATGCTACCAGATCTCTCCAAGAATAGCAGAGCAAATCGCCGAGTAAGCCTCCAGACGAAAACTTGGGAAACACTAACGAACGAAATATGACACAACGGAAACTAAGGAAATATATCCGCTCCCTAACTCCACAAAAGACAGGAAAGCGCTGATACCTATAGCTCCATACCCATCAGCATCCACTTCTTGCTCGTGACATCGAGACCATGAGCCCAGTGGTCTAGAGTAACCATGTCGAAGCCAACCCACTGTAGACTCTTTGTCAAAGAGTGGACGTCGTCAGCAGGGATGCGTCTATCTATGCAAGTGACGATATGTGCACAGTCCAGAGGACCGTCAGCCAGTTCGATAAGTGCCATCAGACTACAAGGTATTTAGCAATTGGACAGAAGAATTGGAACCAGTTTTACTCACGCCTTTTTCAGGTCTCGGCCAAGTACGCCTTCGATATCGAAGAAGACAAAGAGAGATTTCTCCTCTCCGTCGTCAGCAACAAAGGCACGGAAGCTCGCTCCACCGGCATAGTCCCACATCTCCAGCCAAGCGGTAACATTGTAGGCAGGTAGCTCGTCATCAGAAACAGGCTTGAAGTGTTCAGGGAGCCGGTCATCGGACGGCGGCGTTGGTAAAAAAGCACCAGACAGGCCGGAGCCATTCATGGACGAATTCCTCTCACCGTGGAAAATCGTCTTCATGGACTCGCAAAAGAATCTCTCACATTCTTCCCTGATCGAAAGTGCTGCCCCCCCTCGTCGACCCAGGCGCCGGCCTGGGATCTCGCGCTTCTTGCTCTTGGGCAGAAGGGCGAGCTCGTTAGACGAGGTTAGTGCGGCGAGGGGGGGGCTTGTTGGAGGGGAGGGTAGTCCTGAGGAAGGGACCTCAGGAATACCACTCGGCCCCTGTAGTAGAGTTAGTACCATGATGAGGGTTTGGTTCTGAAAGGAGAGTAAATACCTGCAACCCCGGTAGTGCAGTAGTGGAGGCCCTTGAGGTTGGCGGCAGAGTCGACGAGGTAGCAAGAGGCAAGGACGTTGACCTTCTGGGCAGCGGCCTCGCCGTAATTACTACTGTAATTCAAATTCTGATTATTCATTGGCGCCATTTCTGATGATGATTTCGGGTTATCGACTAGAGTTGATATAGGTCGGTAAGGGTCGAGGATGTTGATCGGCAGAAGTTGATTGATAGCGTGTCGTGAGATGACTCTTCAGACCAGCGGTTAGGAAATCCTTTCAAAAGAACTTGTGTGTTGTTTGTGTCGAGGCGAATGTGGAGGAACAAGCTGTGGAGACGTGCGAAGAAGTTTGCGACGGTGTCTTGAGTAATTCGTGGAGAATGTCTCGGATGCGTTGTATGTGTGTAGATGTAAGCCTAAGATCTCTGGTGTTTGGGCAGCGGTAAGGTTAAGTAAGAACGAGGAAGGAGAGGAACCCAGGAATTTGGTGACTTCGGGGCGGTCGGGGCGGAAGGAACAGTGCGTTTCGGGTGGACCCCTCACCTGAGGCTCTGGAATTTTGTGCACACCTCAGGCAGTCGACGGTCCACAGTCCACACCTCAGTGGAGGAAACCTTAGTACTACCTAGGTACCTAAGGGATTGCCACAACCTACCTATAGGTACTAGGTATCTACCAGGTTGCAGCTGGGTACAACTCCTGGCCAGGTACAGTGCGACTATCTTATCTTGGCAACCACTGATTTGAGGTAAGCTGAGGCCAACCAAACTCAAGAAATGGGTAGAAACAGTATGCGATGCCCGTTGATATCGTCATTTTGTATCACATGATTAGACTCTGTAGATCCGCTGCCAAACGTACCGACTCACATGGGTAGCAAGTGCATGATAACGATCATTTTGATTATTCTCAAGCCATTCTTTGCAAATATGAATCATCTCAGCAACATAAGCATTGTCTCTACTTGGCGCACTGTCTCGCAACTAATGCGAACGCCTGCGTAGCACATGGCCTAGTTTACTGGTTGATAAACACCAACAAGTTGATGGTCGGAGGCCGAACTGTGATTGTAACTGAGATGATATGTTCGTTTCTTTAGCAGAGAGAATATTCCGTGTTTAGTTATCTATGGCCACAAGTCTGATCCAGACAATAGTCCTGGAAGTGAGCTTGTCAGTGCGTTTAAATGTTACAGCTCAGGATGCTGATTGTTACAGCAAGGAATCGGCCAGCTACCTTAAGGTACCTACATTAGCTCAATAGGTACTTTTGAATCTCCTTGTCCAGTGGGCCCATATTGGTAGTGAGGTAAGTTCCATTTCGCATGCCTAGGTACCCTTAGGTAGGTAGGTAGGTAGCATGACAAACTACTAAGGGAGGGTATGGCAGAAAACCTACCTGTAACAGAGTCAATTGTGATGATGACAATACGTAGACAGTGTTGAGATAATTTGGAACCATAGCACTTCTCTGATCGGTTTATTGAAGCAAGGCCTGCAAGGGTCTCGAGGCTTCTGACACTTGAGAGGCACCATACATATTCTTTTTGGTTACACAACGTTTCCAAGACTGTGCCACAGAGATCGTCGACTGTGTCAGCCACTCATGTCCGAAGAGTCTAGAATCCTCTGCAATCATCTCACAATACATAGTGACAAGGTAAGAGTTCCTTGAAGCGCTTACACAAAAACCTACTCGCCTCTATTTCGCATTTTACCGTACAGCAATCACTGTATTCGGTCTTGGATGCTGCCGCTGTGCCACAATTGTCAATAATAAAGACACATTGCGTGCTGACTTCGTCAAGAGTTGCATGATACGGGCTCCGCTACAGCTTCTTGTTTCCCACAAACCCAGTTTATTCTACTCTAAACATCCACATCATATCACCTGATTCGATCATGATTTTGTGGCCAAACGCAATTTGTCTCCATTCATGATTCCATCCTCGCCTATTGACAATGGAGGAGGAACTGGTTCGAAGATACATCAGGACTTTCTCGGCCAACTCTACCTACCTAAGTACCTTGCGCAATGTGCATCTCCGAGCAACCTAATTAACCCCCTCCTGTCGTGTAAGTTGATTGGTGGATGTGCTAGATTCCCAAAGCGGTGGTGCCACTACATATGTACTAAGGCACTTACCCAACCCCGCGTTTTGCTTCTATCGGGTACGTATCCGGACCGAGACCCTCACCAAAAACATCCATGTTCGGCTGCATTTCTGCTGCAGCCAGAGACATGATCAACAATTGAGATACTCAATTCGATCCCTTGTGTTGTCCGGGCGCATCACGTTACTCACGAGACCAACGGTATGTGGAGACAGTCCAACAGAGTTTGACACTCACAAACAGTGTCGACAGAGCCATTTTAGTCGCAAGAATGCCAAAGCTCAAATTAGTCGACTCAGCAACAGCCAATGCCATAGGAGGAGGACTATCGCATCAGTACTCCCTCAACGCTCGAGTCAACGTTGACTACCTCAGCAAGTCTATCATCATCTGTCTTTCCGTCTATACGCACCATTTATGCCATGTTATCCTCAATGCCGTCTTCCAACCTCCAAATGCTCACTCAGTGCCGGTTTGCCATACCCCAGCAATCCTGACCAGTCAATTACCCTGCTCTGGAGTACATAAAAGAAAGACTACAGCCAAATGGCCATGACATAGTCCCAACAATCAACCAGAACCATCGTTAATACTATCATACAGTGTACTTCACATCTCCCATGTCACATTTGTGCTATCCTGAACATATTGTATTCCAATACTGCCTCTAGTCTCGTACCATCATCCATGTCGTGCACTAAGGCTTGCGAATGCATCTGGGCTGTGCCGCCCATTTGTCCACGCCAGGTCAAGGCCGAGGTTCATGCTCTCTCTGCTCCTTGCAGCAAATGGGTCGGAAGTGGTCGCAGCATTTGGGTTACCAGCGATTCCAGAAGAAGGCACACCACTCATGAAAGGGTTCGTGGTAGATGATAGATGCTGCGGCACACTTGGTTGCTGCTGCGCAGGTGCGATTGGAGCTTGCAGGAGCTGGTTTTCTGGAATGGTTGGCTGCTGAGTATATTGTGCGGCCTGCTGAACCTGATATGAAGGCTGAGCCGCGACCGTACCTGGCTGCTGTTGTACCGTTTGAGGGTAGCTGTTAAAAAGAGCCATGATCGAGGCCTTGTCTGGTCTTTGAGGTTGGTAAAACTGCTGCTGCTGCTGTTGTTGCTGCTGCAGGTACATTTGAGGCTGCTGTCCAGGGAATCGCTGTCCAGGTTGCTGCTGGACAAAGGGGTTGTGGCTTGCTTGAGGTTGGCTCTGCATCTGTTGCACGACATGTTGTTGCGCAAAGTTAACAGGCTGACCAGCATTTGTAAAAAACGGGTTCGTGCTTGTTTCTGGGGGGCTTAAAGGAGCCGGGCTTTGATACACAGCAGATCCCTGATAAACAGGTGCGTTTTGAAACGAACTCTGCGTTTGCTCTGGTATCTGGCCAAGACTTGGTGATGCGATTCGAGTTGGGGATCGAGCGAACGGATTGTATCCAGCAGGTGCTTGGTTAGTGTTGACTTGAGGGAAGGGATTAGACCCTTGTTGCGGCTGTTGTTGGACTACACCTGCGGTGTTCGCTAGAAAGGGATTATATCCAGTCACCTGCGCTTGGACTGGTTGTGGGTATGTCATGTTGTTACTGAAGCCCAGAGTTGAGAAGCCGCTCGGGGTCGTTGGCGCTGACGGAGCTACTTGTTGGTATCCTGTCGCCTGAGGTGCTTGCTGTGGTGCTGGTCCTCCAGTATGGTGAGGGAAGAGAGGCTGTTGGGGAGAGAGAGACATGTTTTGGAATGCCTGGCTGAATGCATCTGTCGGTTGTTGCTGTTGAGCGGCTGGCACACCGAATGGGTTTGTCTGGCCGTATGGGTTCCGGTTATGAAGGCTTCCCGTCGACTGGGCCGTCTGGGGCTGAGCCATTCCCAAGTTATCGAATGGGTTTGTCGAAGCACTTGATGGAGTAGTGGGACGGTCCGTAGCTGAACGGATGGGTACACTAAGACCTGCGCCGAGTCCTAGTCCCCCAGAACTCGGTGTCAGAGGCGTCAAAGACCTTGATGTTCGCAGAGTTTGTTCCCGAGGTGAAGGGGTAGGAAGAGGTGAGGGTCGACCGCTACCCTCACCCAATCGCACAAGAGTCTCAATCGCTCGCTCAATGTTGCCATTAACACCTTTTAACACCAGAGCATTGCGTTTGGGGTCCTGAAATCCCATGTCTTGTAGCCTAGCCAGCTTTTGCTCCATGTCATCCGGTTGATCAAGATCCAAGGTGGCGCCGAACACTTTTGATGGTTTATTAGGAGGTCTTGGAGACTCGCTACGTCCACCTTGCGCAGCTGTAATGGTTTTGGCATCTTTCTTCGACTTGGACGATAGAGGGAAAATAGATGAAGCTGATCGGAATCCGAACTTCGAATTCTTAGGCGGCAGTGGCGGAGGAGTCCCTTCGTCTATATGAGGAGATCTAGGCTTTCCCGTTCCACTAACAGTATTATTCATATATTTCTGTCTGATGAATCGTTCCATGGCAGAATCCGCTTCGTCAGCGTCGACCGGGACGGGAGGTTTGCGATGCTCGGGGTTATAAATGTTGTTGGATGTGATATTTCCGACCTTTCGCATGTTCTATAGACCATGTAAGCTATTGGTTATCTTTGGGCACGATCGCCGGGTTGTTGTTGTTGCTCACGTCGACTTGCTCGTTTGTCCAACTATCCATGCTCAGGGACTTAACTTTCGAGATGTGAGTACCCAACTTTCGATGAATTGCAGCACATCTCATGCATAGGAAAACGCCCAACTAACAAACATATTAGTATTGGATCAGTTCTCGTATGTATTTGGGGACCGTACACTCCATGAAGCCCAAGCTGATGTTGACAATTGATGTTAGCAAATTCCGGTCATCTCGTATACCCGGCGCAGGATGAGCTTGGCTGTGCATCTGGAGCATACCTGGATTACGCGCGTGGCAGTCAGCGCACATATTATTGCCCGGGGTGTTCTGCACAAGATCCTGCAGGGCCTTTTCGTTCCGCGCCTGCTGGCGCTTGCTCATGATACTCGACATGGTGGCGGATCTTGACAGATTAAGTCTTCGTGATCTCTAGAAGATGCGCAGTACCAAAGGAACCTGTCTCGCAGTGTAACCGTCTCGAGTCGTTCGTAGGGCTCGTGCAGTGATCGGGCTCTGGAGCACGGAGGCCGGAGACCGGGACGGGGCTTGTCGACGGGCAGCAGAAAGAAGCAAACAATTATGTAAAGTAGATGCCGCGGGTGAAGAAAAGCACTTATTACCAACCATGCAGGCGAAAGGAGGGACAAGGAAGATGCGATGCAATGCGATGCGAGGCGGCTCAAGTCGTTGATGAGATTGAAAAGAAGGAGATGAAAAGATGAAAGTTGACCAAGAAAGGGTACTTCCTTTCTGTTGCGCCGTGCGATTCAGGTCACAGCGGTAGGTACCTTTAAGATGGTCGGGATGCAGGCGCGGGAAGAAGCACTTGCCACACTCTGGCTCAGCGTTTCAGTGATTTACTGTGAGATTGGACATGAATTCAGAGTCCAGAAATTGAAAGAGGAAAATGAAAGACAGGTCAACATAACCAGAGGCAGATGGAAATTTCGTTATCAAGTTCTTCAACTACCTAATAAGGGTCAGCCAAACACCAACTCAAAAAAAAGCCCCTGGCTTGGCCTGGACCTTGGGCTTAGCTTGACGAGATTCCTCCTCGTAGGCTCGTCCCCTAAACCACAGTGGAGTTCCATCTCGCTGCCCGCTTAGATCCACAAGTCACTTAAGGTAAGGTCTGGCTGCTTAAGGGCCCGTCTGTCTATCCCAACTAGTAGGGTTAGGCATGGGCTCACTTCATCCATCCACCAGTAGAAGCGTCGTGATGGCCTTTGGTGCTTGGCTCCACGACAGGCGTCAGGGGCAGGTCGCGTGGGTGAGACAGGGTTTGAGTTAAGAACCGATTCCGGTTCCTATAGTAGTGATGAACCTCGAGGGAAGTTGGGGCTTAGAAGATGCGATTTGTGATTATTTCTCTGGGAGGGTGGTTGTCCGTTGATGAGATGGCACGAACTGCATTGCAATGTTCATTGCCAAATGTCATCAGTTGCTGTATGTTATAGTGAATGCTTAGGTATATTGCAGTTCTGAACCAGTGCCACAATTGCTGTAGTTCCAATAATTGTGCTAACAAGGTGAAATGTCCATGCCTGCATGTGCTTCCATGGGAGACGGAGATGGTGCTTACTCTATTTCCATAACTTATACTGGCATCAGAAGGGGGTTGTTTATACAACCGAACCTCATTATGAAGCCCCAGTTGGAAGGGAGATGCCATGCCTTATCTGGTTTATGTAAACATGTGGCTAGGTAGTTACCAGATACTGTTGATCATCTGTCTGGGGACCCTCGTGTGTAGCTCGGGGAGGATTGACATATCAATGCTGAATTGTTCCTGTGACATCGGCCTTCTACAAAAACAAGGTCTGCCGACACGTCTCATATCATGGTCCATGAATTGCCTACAAACCCAGCAAGACTACCTATGAAATAACACAAACCCGGTAGGCATCTTGGTTTATCTGCTATGAAAAATTGTCCAATACAGTTTTGCTAATTAGATGTCCCGAAGTAGGGTTGTGCCTAACTGCCTCAGTTACATGCTCGGCTTCCGGGTAGCCTTGCATCATATTCAACGGGCAGACACACATATACAAAGACCACTCCATCAACGTGCCGGAAATAGCATCTGAAAGTCCACGGTAGCCCGGATTGACCGGCAAGGCCCGGAATGAGGATTGCCCGTGGGGCAATGACCAGTCTTCAGGGCCGAGAAGCTATTTATGAGGATCATCCTAGTCGACAATAATCTTCTACCCGAGACATTGGACAATGGAACATTGGCGTAGGAATGCAGTGTGCAAGAAATCGGGTTCGCATAGACCTTGGAGCTGTCAAATCGAGCGGTGGCACGTATATCACGATACAGCAGTAATTAGGTACGTAGGTATATTAGCAACATCACGAGTTACAGCTCAGTCCCAGAATTCGAAATGAGGTAGCCCCTATGCCTCGGAACAAAGTGGAATGCAACGTCATATCATGCCGTGTAATAACTAGCACTTTGCTGCGCTCGCATACCAAACCTACCGAGGCAAGGAACCTTAACATAGTAATCGCGAGCCCTCTTTGTTGGTTTTCGTATTTAATCAAATTCCACCTCTGCAAGCTTCCACATTCCTGACTCCTTCCTCAGTGATTTGATCATCAATCATCCACTCGCATTAAAATCGTGTCCATAGCTTCTTCCGCC